TCTTCGTCCTCGCCTCCCGACTCCTCCCTTTTCTATCGCCCAGGGCTGGGCTCAGTAGAAGACAGAGGGCAGGAGGTGTGTATTCACTGTATGGATAACCAGGTGATCGCTGCCCTGGTTCCCTGTGGCCATAACCTCTTCTGTCTTGATTGTGCCACTCAGATTTGCAAGGGACCAGAAGCTGTGTGTCCCGTGTGTCTGTCTCCAGCCACGCAGGCCATTCAGCTCCGTAATGTCTGATTTGTAATCTGTTCACCTCGATGACTGATCAGGGATCAGCCTCCTCCAACACTACCGACCTAATTGTGTGTGGGGGAAATTACAAATTACTGACCCTGATTTCATCATCAAGGTTAGTTCTCACCCAGCCGGTAAAGGAATGAAAGGTGAATAAGGAATGATCTGTGTCCAGGACATGAGTTCATGCTTGATCGTCTGAAGTCTTCTTTTTTGATTAATTGATATATTGATCAGTGGGTCATAAATTCCTCAATGTAGCAGTGGGTGGAATGGGATATACTGTACCTATATAAATATATTTAGTTTCTACCTATAGTTTATATATATTTTTTAATGTTCTTTAAATTTTTTATTTTTATTTGTTTTAGATTTTTTTTAAATTGTTTGGTCAAGGTTGGGTTTTTTCCATCAACATCTCAATTTTTATTTTTTTATTTTTTTTAATTTTGTGCTGCTACAGTCATGTTCACTTGCTGGGATAAGTCCCGGCCACTTTGCCTATAATTACATTTTGCTCTAGGCAGAATTATCCCTGAGGAACAAAATGTTGCTGAGCATGTTTACATGAAGCAAGTCCATAACATGAACATTGGCAAACTTGAAGTATTGTTTGTTACTACGGCTTTTGAATGCAACAGTTAACTGGATACCTACACATGATTCAGTACTGTACCAGTCTGTTCTACATACTTTATTCATTTGTATTATCGGGATAGTTGTGCGACTCTTAATTAGGACAGTGTGTTTACAAGTGCAGAGACATCCAGGAGATTATTTTGTGTTATTACAGATATTAACAAATCTCATAGAAAAGAAAACAGACCCATGTGGGTTTTTGCTGTTATTTCACTTTCATCCTTCAGCTGTTTAGTTGAAGGATGAAACTGAGTAGTGAGAACCCTCAAAATTGTTGAGCTGTGCACCTTTTAATAATGTGGAGGAAAAAACACACCCAATCTTTTTTTTTTTTCAACTGGGCGGAAAACTTAAAACTACAGCCTGACCTTTTATAACCTTTATAATTATATTTCCGGACTAAAGTTTGATTAGCCTTCACCAAGACTTGGCTAAGATAATGTTATCTTGCTTTTGACACAAAATGTTCTAGTTATTTTTTTTAAAACAACATCACTAAAAGTCAAACAATCTTAACATGTTTGGATAGTTGTCTTCCAGAGGCCATGTTCGTTTATTACATATAATCTATGAAACAGTGACACAGGAGTACGAGCGTGTTTCACCACTTCAGTATCCCAATATTCCTTTGGATTACTATGTAACAAGTATTACAGGTACAGGTAAACTGGTGCCTAACATTAGCTGGCTCCTCTGACAGTGTCACTCTTAATTGTCTTAATACAAACTTGTGGCATTTTTTTGTTCTTTTTAAAGCCTGTACCTACACAATGCACATCACAACACTATCATCCCAGAAGTCTATCACAGATGTGACTTGAATGAACACAAGTTGACAGACTGAAGTCTTAACATTCACCTACTTAAATTTGTCCAAGTAGAACAGAGGTTTTTACGGGGTTCTTCAGTTGCGTCTCTCTTACTCTCTCGCTCTCTCTTAAGTGGGGTTTTTGGCATGTACACTCCCATTCTCATTCTTTTCTGTCTTATTAGCTGGGTTTTCAACCAAAAGTACCTTCACAACGTGTTGCTTCCCCCTTATATTCCTCTTATCACTTCAATGTCAAATTAACCCGGGGGCCCCGCTCTGATACCATCTTCTCAGTCTAATTTCTGCATTACTTTTATTTTATAAATACCTATATTTTTAATCATGTTTATCTGGCCTTTGCAAAAGTCATCTCAGTATTTCAACTACTAGAGGAAGCCCTAGTTTCACAAAACTCCACAGATTTCATTATGATCAAATTACCTTCAACCTTCACTTTTAGACTGATGTGTTTTTTTTAACTGCTCCCTTGATGATGAGATTATTTCTGGTACACTCTTCACCAGATGCTTTTGTTCTCTCTTGGCCTAAACAAAGCACAGCCTTCTCTCACTCCTCACCTCACACTATTGATTTGATGGAACTCCAAAAACAGTAGGAATTGTTTCCTTTTTGTCTTACCTAACCATCTTATAAATCTGAAATAAAAAGGTACAAATCATTGGGATTCATCTCAGGTCATAGCTTTAAACCCCTGTCTTTGTGTGGGACTCTGTTTCCAGATTGATTGTCGGCAAATTCAAAAGGCAAAACAGCACCTGGAATGATTTCATCCTGGACTCTGCTGACACTACTTTCCGTCAACATTATTACATTACAATGCTTTACCGTTTGGACTCTGAACTGCAGTCCTTTTACACATTCTGGCCGTTAAAGGAAAAAAAAAAGAAAACAGTGTTTTGGGAATCATTTCACTGCTGAGCTATTTATCGGTGGGAATGGAACCAAATGAGTCCCAAAAGTGCAAAAAAAAAACCCCAAAACAAACCCTCCTCCTCTTCTTTTTCTAACCGTCCTTTTTTTTCAAGTCTATGAACTCCACAAAGGGTCCTCTCCTTCTCCAAGGGAATGCAATATACTGTCAGCTCCTCAGTTTGACATGAATCTCTTGACAATTTTGTCTATGTATTATATAATATTACTGTTAATGACTGATGAATCAACAGAACTTTTTATTTTGTTACATTTCATATATATGTATATCTTAACACATACATAGAAAAATATATATCTATATTAAGATGTTTACAATAAGATATTTTATTTTTCTTTACAACTTTTTTTCTCTCTGATGAATTTCCAAGTTTGAAACTCAGAAACGCTCCAACAGCAGCAGAGTGATAACGCTTCCCGCTTGTAGTCTAGATCCTATTAGTTCTGACTATTGATGAAAATAGTATTGATAGCTGCAGTTTAACCTAGTGGACAATGGAATGTGCACCACGAGCATGTCTACATAACGTACCGCCACCAATGTTAAAATGTCACTGCAACTGTACAAAGACCAAGGATACAGACTGCCTGTCAATGTTTGTACGCCATCGAGTAATGAAAGGTATATATTGCCGTAAAATGTACCTGCATTTATCTATATATGAAAATACTTAAAACTGTCAAGCTGTACCAACAGATCAGAAATATTTACTAATTTTACTACACTTTTGTTTTGTATATATGGGGTGGGGGTCTTATGGCATATAAATTCTTCAAATTGAGTCAGGAGTTTAAGAGCAGACTATATTTTATAATGGCCTTTTAAGTTATTGTGGCCAAAGCACTGATATTATATATTTGCTGTAAAGAGAATTTAAGAGTTTTATTTTTCTGATACTAAAGTTCCTTAGTAAAGACTTTCATTTAAAGCCATCCAAGCCTCCTGTGGTTCATATGTTTTTCCCAGCAACATTAACACCACCAAAAGTTGCCATTTGCTGCAATAATGTGTTTAATATCCATAATAAATGATTTTTTTTGTATTTAGCTAGATTTGATTAGGTAAAAAAGCAAGGGCCATGTGTGTCAATTAAAATTATTTCTACTTTAATAATCATGCAGCACTGTTGCCTTAAAATGCCTGCAGCTTAGAGAGTACAATTTATTTACAGAAGTTTTTGAAATAATAGTTTATTCTGTTACAAGTATTATATACACTCACACTTTTAGCCAGCAACCTTTTCTTTCAGTAACGTGAAGGCCTTTCTAACCACCTGATTGACCAGATGCATAAATGTGAATGCTTTGAATAACTGATGTTAACCATGGTTTAAAAATGGACTGACAGTGAAACAAAAACAATGTCCTGTTCTGTGGTTGAGGCTGAGGTTTTCCTGATATAAAATGACAAAAAGTTACAAGATAATATTAAACAAATTAAATTAGACCCACAGCTGTGGGCCTCTGTCACACGAAACCCTTGTGTAAAGGTCAGTTGTAAAAACCCATGTTAAAAATGCTGTGTGACAAATTGTTACTTATATGGAGGACAGACAGATCTACAGGTGTGTGGGCATTACCTACCCCTGCTTTAACATCAGCACAGACAAACGACTCCTTAACTATCCATCACATAGGCTGCTTATGGTTGGATTCTCACAGGCTGATTTGATTGCATTATTATTATTAATGGAGTAGATGTTTGTGCACCAACTTGAGTAACCAATATTAATGCAACAAAAAGAGACTTCCCCAAAAATGGATTGATAAAATACTAATTATTAAAATATTGGTTGACGAAATGGGTACAAATTATACATATTCAATTCACATCTTATATTTACATTGTTTTCCCGCAGCGTACATTCAACAGTTGGTTAAATGAGAAAGCAAACGTTTTTTTTTTTTAAACCTTTTTTGAGTCTTAATATTATTACCAGTGTAATGCAATATAAAATGGCTCCTTAACCCTTGTAAGGTTCTTCAGGTCTAGGTGTCCCCTGGGTCACCTACACCCAATATGTCTTTGTGTGTGTGTGTGTGTGTGTGTTTGCATGCTCCTGCACTGCATGACTTGTGCCAACTTTTCCTCATATTTATTAATACTCATATTCTGGGACAAGATGAAAATCATTGCAAGGACAAACGGTGTGTACAAAAATGCAAAGGATCGCACAAGGGTTAAAATAATTTGTGTTAAACATTGTGGGTTTTATCTTTATTCTGCTCAGCTGTTCTCTTTGTTTTTCCATTTTTCATGACTGCACAAACTTGCTGAGCTTTGTCCTGTTGGAAAAAGGTCAATATTACATAGCACATAGCAGATATTCTGAGCATATATCTGCACCGTTATCACCATTCTGTTAAATAAGGTAAGGCTTGAAAACTTCAATATAATTGAGTCTATTTACTGCCCCTACTCTAAGGTCAAAAACAAATGTTGCATTCTCTTATGAACAAAGACTCTCAGATGACTATAAGCATGGAAAATAGTGACTTCACTTTTGGAGTCAAACAACCTTTGACCTGTTCAGGATGTAACCAGAAATTTAAACAATTATCAGCTGAGACTGGCTGCTAATATAATGAAGCAGCAGAGAAATCTTTATTTTATATGAATATCTCTGAAACATTGCTTAATGGTGTTTTTTGTAACTACGAAAAAAAAAACAAAAACAAGTTATTTCATTAAAAAAAAAAGTATAGTGCTACAAAACAAAGGTGACGGAAATTTAAAAAAAATAAGTGAAAGGAAAATATATCAACATCAATGATTGCTACTTTTTAAATTCCTTAGTAAGTTGGCTATAAAAAGCCATGTGTGAAATAATGTAACTGGGCTGCATGTCATTACACACCACAGCAGGGGTTCTGAGAGGTGAGTAAAGACGACGACATGGGAAAAAATACTAAAAAACTAAAAATACTGACTAGTCAAATTCAAAGCCAATATCTGTAAAGCAGTTCACCTCAGGGTTTACCTCAGTCTCATGCCCGTCAGTGGCAGCAGCTGCTGGTGAAGTGTGAAGTGCAACACTGAGTCGTCAGTGTTCACAGCCCACTGTGTGGCTCCTGTGATGCTGCATGTCAGCAGTGACAGGTAACAATGTTCTGGTCATGGTTGACACATTATAATACATGGCTTTAGTGTTTCTGAACCTGGTGGTTCTCCTGAACTGTCTCTGCTTTAAAGCAGATGTCCAGATGTTGAGTTTACACTCTCAACTTTGTTATCCTTGGGTACAACTACCTTCTGTACATTTCAAACCTCGTGACTGGCTGTTTGAGCCACTCCACAAAGACAGACACTGCCATCACCAGGCCTCACAGTGGACATGGTGTTCTTTAAGTGAAGGTGCTTTGGTGCAAAACTTAAGAATTAAAGAAATGGAAATGTTCAAGCTGTGACACATTTTCCTACCACGTTCCTGGTAGACCTGCAGCAAACTTAAGCCATGCCTGGACCGCCCTTTACTCTATAAAAGACAACTGTTCGGCAACACATTGTCCAGACTGGTAAGGGACACAGTCTTTTCTGACATGTCAATTTTCCATTAGCTGCTGGAATTTCCTGTAGTTTCTTAAATGTCACTGTTGTCTTCTCTTAAGACGACGACCAGCCGTGTGATGTCGCTGTACCCTATCATAATCACTGTATTTTACGGTAATTCTTTTGTATCCGTCTCCTTGGTTAACCTTGAGAAATTTAGATTAAAAAAATATTTGTTGTGAGATGGGGGTAACAAACACTTAAGTTGTATATTTGTTGTTGCTGCTGCGAGAGAGAGGTGTGTAAACGTCCTACGTTAATAGCAGGTCGTTATCTGGAAGTGACACAGCATCAATAGCTTCTCCACCAAAAACTCTTAACAGAGTGAGCCGATCTTTTCCTGCTTTATTCCGCGATTCTAAAATAACTCAGTCCAGTGGCTGTGAGTCTGCTATAGGCATGGTGTGAAGAACCTCATCCAGTAACTGCAGGGCTCGGTGCAGGTGGATCTCGATCCAGCAGGGGGTCTCCTTGATGCTCTGTCGAGGGTAGTCAGGCCCCCAGCCCTTCACAAAACTCATCCTGAGGATACACAGCCTGCGTAGGTCGTCCACACCAATACCTGCTGCTGCTGACAGACCTGAGATCAGCAGGTGGACATTGTTAGGTCAGTTGTCAATGTGGGTCGTTGTGTGTGATGTGTGTGACACTTTAGCTACTGCTAAAGCTGATTCATATTCTCTTCCCACCCACTTCTAAACCATCGACTAAAAGTTTTACTCATACACTTTTACATTTTTAACAGCATAACAACTCACTTATAGCTGGAGCTATGCCTCCGACTGATCCAGGACCAGGTATACTTCCAGCTACAGCTGCTGCCTGAGCTGCTGCTGCTGCCTGAGCTGTGGCCGCCTGCTGCTGCATCTGTCTGTGACACTGCCGAAGGTCAAACACCTGCAGGAGGAAGGAGACATTTAACAGTGGACAATCTGAGGCCATTTTCTCCCCCAGAAATAAAAATACTACAGGCAGTAAAGAGGAAGTCAGAACATTATTAGTCAAACAGAGCACATGGAGAGCAGTGAGATAGGAATACAATGGGAAACTAAGGTATAATCCCAGTGCTATGAGATCTTTTAATAATAATGTAAACCAAATGATGAGGATAATTTATACAATACACACGGCAGGACGTCACGAACATGAAGGAAACAGGTTTTCCCAAGTGTATTTTTTTATCAAGCAGTTCAGTTTTAGTGGAATACATGTTATGGGATTTTTCCCCCTTTTCTGCTAATGTTTTCCTGCCTCTGTAAAGCACTGTGAATGTCTCTGTGTATGGACAGTTCTATACAAAGAGACTGGACTGTGTGTGTGTGTGTGTGTGTGTGTGTGTGAGAACAAGCATCTGTACCTTGATGTAAGCACTTGGGTAGATTTTGTGAACAGCATCTCCTGGAGCTCGACCTGCTTCTCTGTCCAGGTAATAACTCTGGACAAACACTGCGTGGTCACTAAGGCAGCGCACCCACACATCACCCTCACCCTTACACTCCAGCTGGACTCCCTTACCAATGTGAAGCCTAAAAGAAAAAAAAGATACAGACTTTACATACTAATACAACCACATACACCTGTTGACAGATTTAAGGAGAATGATGAAATAATTTGCAGTGATTCTATTCCAGATTAGTAACCGTAATAGTAACTGTACAAGAAGGCCCAGAGTAGACTGTACTTCCTGCGAAGGCTCAGGTCTTTTAACATCTTCAGGAAGCTCCTGAAAGTGTTTTACCAGTCTGTAGTTGCCAGTGTAATTTTGTACACTGTGATGTGCTGGATGAGCAGCACATCAAAGAAGGACTTACACAGATTGGAGAAGCTGATCAGGAAGTCTAGCTCTGTGTTGGGCATCAAACTGGTGAAAGTGGCAGAGAAGAGAACACTTGGCAAACTGCTCGCCATCTTGGACAATGCCACTCATCCACTGCACACTGTCATCACCAATCAGAGGAGTCTGTTCAGTAACAGGCTCCTTCATCCAAAGAGCAGGACCAATAGGCTTCCTTTGTCCACCGGGCAATTAAACTGTTTAACTCTTTACTGGGTAGGAGGAGGGAGAACAAACGACTGGTAGATAGGGGAGTAAGTGCAATAACCCAACAATAATTTCAGTGCAATAACCACAATCTCCAATTACATTACTATTATATTTCAACAATTGTTTTTGTTTTTCTATTTTATATTCTATTATAAGTATGCTTAGGTGTATGTGTATATTCGTGAGTTGGCACTGCGGCAGATGGCTGCTTGTAGCCGCAGCTCCCATCGTGTCTTTTAACTTTGTTTGCTGGTATTATTACTCGCTTTCTTTTGCGGACTAACAACAACCTGTTCATAAACCTTTTGGATGATGGCTGGACTAAGTTTTTTTTACTCTTCTCCATGTTCTCCTGTTACTTTTTCTCCTCTTTGTCACGGAGAACTCCGCTGGTAGTAGCGCGAGTAGACAATTCTACTCCCGCAACCAGCTGATTGTGCTGTGCAAGCCTGTGTTGCTGACAGGAGACAGACTTGTGGTCCCACAGGAGTTACGCAGGAAATGCCGGGGTTGCAAGTCTGGAGTCAAATTTAGAGAGAAAAGAAGAAAACATACGCCAGAGGTCCCAGCGATTATAATGGGTAATGTCAGGTCTCTGGGAAATAAAACGGACAGACTCGCAGCGCTGGTGAAGACCCAGGAGTATCGTGGGCGTAGCATTTTTTGCTTCAGTGAAACTGGGAAAAGAAGGGTGGTGAAATTGTGCTATAGGTTAGTAAAAGGTGGTGCAATCATGTTCCTTCATGTCAACCTGTGATGTCATTGGCTCAACAGCGGCAAAACTACAAAACCCTGATGCATTTATGGTTAGATACTGATGCATGATTGAAGTCAACAGGTGACTTCAATCATGCATCTCTTGACAATACACTCAACTTCCATCAATATGTTGAGTGTCCCTCCAGAGAAAATAAAACACTGGATCTCCTGTATGCTAATGTCAAAGATGCATACAGTGCCACAGCTCTGGCCCTTCTTGGCAGGTGAGACCACAACTTAGTCATGATGACTCCGAGATATGTTCCCCTTGTGAATAGGCAGCCAGTGCTCACCAGGACGGTGAGGAGTTGGACACAGGAGGCTAAAGAAGCACTGCAGGACTGTTTTGAGTCGACTGACTGGGATGTAGTCTGTGAGCCACATGGGGAGTACATTGACCGTATGAGTGACTGCATCACAGAGTACATCAAGTTCTTTGAGGACACCATAGTACCAGCTCAGTCAGTGCACTGTTTTCCTAACAACAAGCCCTGGATTAACAGTGATCTGAAGGCACTTCTGAACAAGAAGAAGATAGCTTTCAAGTCTGGAGACAGAGAGGAACAGAGGGAGAGTTCAGCATGAACTCAGAGAGATGCTGAGGACTTGCAAGGACAACTACAGTAGAAAGTACAGTAGAACAGAACAGTATGAGGGATGTTTGGAGGGGAATGAAAAACATCACTAGGATGAAGGAGAAAGACAGGCTAACGTCAGGGAGCCTGGAGAGTGCAAACCAGGCTAACAACTTCTTTAACAGGTTTAGCTCACCTTCTACCACCCCCTTGGTACCCTCTTTCCCCCACACACCCATGCTGTCCCTAATAGCTCAACCCTCCCCCAGCAATCTCCTGTACGGCACCTCTCTGCACCTATCTGTCCACCCTCTCCCTCCTCCACTGAAGACATCTACTTTAACCTCCACCCAATGGTGACTGTAATCCAGGTAAAAAAGCAGTTGGAGAAACTACATCAACGACAGGCTGCTGGTCCTAATGGCATCTCACCTAGGATCCTTAAGACCTGCGCCAGCCAGCTGTCTGCTGTACTATGCCATCTGTACAACATGAGTTAGAGCCAGGAGAAAGTCCTGATGCTGTGGAAGACATTCTGCTTGGTTTCAGTCCCCAAGAAGTCAAGACCATCTCATCCGGCTCACTACAGACTGGTCACCCTTACATCTCATGTGATGAAGGTCCTGGAGCGACTGGTTTTAGCCCAGCTGAAGCCACAAGTAAGTACATTTCTTAACCCTTTGCAATTTGCATAACAGTTCCAGTTAAGAGTTGACGATGCTGTCATTCACCTGCTGCAACAAGCTCATTTGCATCTGGATGGTGGTGGAAGCACTGTGAGGATCACATTCTTTGACTTCTCCAGTGCTTTCAACATCATCCAACCACAGCATGGGTGAAAAGCTGTGGGTGATGGGTGTCGACCATGCAATGATCTCCTGGATCACTGACTACTTGACAGGCAGGCCACAGTTTGTTCGTATGGGCAGGGTCTTGTCTGACGTTGTGGTCAGTGATACAGGAGCTCCACAGGGAACTGTTTTGTCTACCTTCCTCTTCACCTTATACACCACTGATTTTCAGTACAACTCTTAGTCATGTCTTCTGCAGATGTTTTCTGATGACTCAGCTGTTGTCGGGTGTATAAGGGAGGCTGAGGAAGGTGAGTACAGAACACTGATTAACAACTTTGTTGAGTGGTCTGAACAGAATCACCTGAGGCTGAACAGCGACAAGACCGGAGAAATGGTGATTGACTTCAGAAGGAAGAGGATGCCGTCTCAACCACTATGGATCAGAGATGAGATGGTTGTTGGAGGATGTTGAGGACTACAAGTACCTGGTAGTGGTGATCAGCAACAGACTGGATTGGGAAGCTAACACCGACGCTGTGTACAAGAAGGGGATGAGCAGACTTTATTTCCTGAGGAAGCTGAGATCCTTCAACATGCGCAAGATGTTAGAGCTCTTCTATCAATCTGTTGTTGCCATTTTCTTTGCAGTATTGTGCTGGGGAAACAGCATCAGAGCCAGCGACACTAACAGAGCCAACAAGATCATCAGAAGGGCTGGTTCTGTTCTTGTTCTCAGACTCAAGGCCTTTAAAACTGTTGTGGAGAGGAGGACACTGAACAAACTCTTAGCCATCATGGACAACAATGAGCACCCTCTCCACCATACTGTAGACAGACACCATACTGTAGACAGACAACCATGACGTGGGGAATCGGGAGTTACTGGCAGTAGTGTTGGCACTGCAGGAATGGAGGCACTGGCTTGAAGGAGCGGAACATATCTTCATCATCTGGACGGATCATAAGAACCTGGAGCACCTCCGCATAGCCAAGAGGTTGAATCCGCGACAGGCACGATGGGCCCTATTTCTGGAGAGATTCAGGTTTACCCTAACTTACCGCCCAGGTTCTCGAAATGTGAAGCCCGATGCACTCTCCAGACTCGAAGAGAGGAGGAGATCAAGGACACGACCAACATTCTTCCCTCTAACAGTTCTGGTGGCCAACGATTGCCAGAGATACAAGGAGTTTTGTGTTTGCATGTCCTACCTGTGCTCATGGCAAGTCCACCCATCACTCCCTGAGGGGTCTCTTGCAGCCACTGGGGACCCTGAGCCGCCCGTGGTCCCACATCGCACCGGACTTCGTGACGGGTCTGCCATTGTTGGAAGGTAACACCACTATTCTGACTATAAATTATCGATTTTTCCAAAGCTGTGCATTTCATTCCCTTGCCTAAGCTCCCCTTAGCATCTGAAACTGTGGACCTTTTGGTTTTCCATGTCTTCCGACTTCACGGGATCTGCCAGGACTTCGTGTCGGACCAGAGTCCGTTGTTTTCTCCACAAGTGTGGAGATCTTTTTGCAAGACTTTGGGAGCATCAACCAGTTTGCCTTCTGGCTACCATCCCCAGACAAATGGGGAGATGTAGCAGGCGAATCAAGACTTGGGCACCACTCTCCGGCTGCCACCTAGTATCTTGGAGTTCGTTCCTTCCCTGGGTGGAATATGCTCACAATTCGCTGATATCTTCAGCCACAGGTATGACACCCTTCATGGCTTCTCTGGGTTATCAGCCTCCTCTTTTCCCAGAACAGGAGAGGTGGCGGTTCCATCAGTACACAGGAACATTATATTGAGCCCAGAGAGTCTGGAGAGCGGCCAGGGCCGAGCCAAGACAAAGCAAGCAGCTGATAGACATCGGTCTCCTGCTCCCACCTACCAGCTAGGGCAGAATGTGTGGCTGTCGACTAAGGACATTCCCCAGTTGGCCCCCCGGTTCATTGACCCGCTTAAGATTGAGAGGATCATCTGGTCATCGGCAGTTCGCCTAAAGCTTCCCCCATTCCTTAAGATACACCATTCCTTCCATGTTTCCTTACTCCTATAAAACGCTATCTATCTATCTAGCTATCTAACCAGTCTTATACAGTATGAGACATCATTACAAATGGATGGAGTCAACTCAGAATAAACTAACTAAAGAAGTCAGTGATATTTGCGTCACTAACCGAGCTCTCTCTATGGCTTCAGTGCGATGAACGTTACTCAGCTGGCCCAAACAGAACCTGTCTCCTCCGGAGGGGTCCACATAGCCATCCACTGTCACAATGGGACAAGAAGAGGGCACTTTGAACATCTCACCGACCTGAACGTCCATCTCAAAGTAGGCAATGGAACACCAGTAGTCAGGGGCTGCAAGAGAAGAACCAAGTCAGACGTTACAAGTGAAGCTGCTGCAGGGATTGGATGCTGATGGAGATTGAAGGCCAACAAATGTAGCTTTGGGAGGTTTAGTTGTTTTTCTGAAATGAGTGAGTTCATGACAAATACAGGCCTGGTTCTCTGTCTGGTTCACATCATGTTGTTCAACTGGAGTTGTGGTTCCCCCAAAAAAACACACACAGAAGTGGATATTCTGGATTTTCTTGTATTTTTGTTCATCAATTAAAAATGTTGACATAAGCAGGAAGCTAGGTGTTGTGTCTACAACAGACTTTACATTAATACATTACTTTACATTTTATGTTTTAACCTGAAATGAAGGGACATAATAGACAGCTGAGAGAGGAAACGTCACTCGATGCATACAAAATAATTAATAACCAATCAGTAATAAAAACACATGTATTTAACTTGAGGTTCAGTCAGTCCTCACCTGGATGATTTGATAGGGGAGGCTGGAAGGCAAGCTCATTGTGCACTGGCCCTGGGAAAATCAAGCAAAATAGTGTAGCCAATCATAATCATCAAGCAGTTTTTTTATTTTGTGGTTAATTTGGAGCTAAGTGCAACGCTGTGCCTACAGTAATGTGCTGGGTGTGGCATTGGTGGGTGGTGCTGTAGGTGACCGTTGCTGTGGTGCGATATGTTAGAGGGGAAGGTGCTGTTCCTTGACCAGGAGGAGGAGGCACCTGAGGAAGAGGCACAGAACTCAGAGGTGGAGGGGAGAAGACTCAAAGTGCATAATCACAGACATCATCACAGAAATCACCCATAATTCACTTATATACAAATGTCTTACTGCTCGATCCAGCAGCGATGGCAGGGAAGGATGACGTCGAGGATGAGGTGGAGGTCTCAGCAGGTGAAAGCAGGTTTGGAACTGCAAATGATTCTGCAGGCGCTCCTCGGCTGCTGGACGGAGGATGCTGGATAGTTTGGATGGAGTGTCCTCCGTCCATGGAAGGAACGTTCTGTGGTCCATCAAAATCATACTCATCTTTAACAACAAGGCCTGAGCCGGAGTGAGGAGTGGTGAGGGTCAGACCTGATAAGTCTGCAGACGAAGGAAATCAGGGAGAGAGATAAGCTAAAAGCTGAATCAACCAAATCAACTCCCATATAATTACGCTCCTCCTGTTCTCACCTATGCTGGGAGACACCACCCTCTCATAGTGATAGGGGTTGACACACACACTGTCACACTTGAGGTCAAAAGCAAACTGGCAGTATTTGACATGTTTGAGCTCATTTTTATGAAGGTCAGGCCACCGCCACAGCCGAGCGTAGATGACATGAGGGAACCCTTTACGTCCTGCCACCTGTGGCAGGCAACAACAAATATAGCATATAATTAATATAAACTCATTAAAGCTCATTGACCACAAAATCTTTACACATTACTAAATTCTGACAAATTTACATACTGTGTTTGTATTTCCAGTACCTCAACTTTTGTGACTTCTATTGCACAAGAATGCCAGAAATGCAAAACAGATTATTGTTCTGTAAATCCAAAATGTCATTGGTCCAATCACATCAGTGAGTTTAGATGATATTTAGATTTAAGACACAAATTATTTTAATTTGTGCCTCCATCAATTTGTAAAATTACCACATAATACTGGTCCTAAATTCTGTATTTATTTAAAATGCCAAAAAGTATCTTCAGATGATTAAGATGGTAAGATACGTATCTGGTGAATGAATAATGAATCTGGCTAAAAAAATACAACAATCATTGCATGTAGTTACAGCTGGCAAGTAAAATATAGGTAGAATATATGAGAAAGTACACAAATAAGCCAGACTTTGTCAAAGCTTATCAATATTTGAAGTCCTGTGTCTGTGTTGAATAAGCAGAGTTGCAGCATCCTACCTGCAGTCTTCCATCAAGTGTCCTCTGAATAGTCACACACTTGCTGGGATGGGCACCGTTGGTGGTAATAGCCGTAATGAGTGAGTCAAGCTCGTCTTTTTTCTCCTTCAGCTTTTTCACCAAGCTCTCGATGGCACGTTTGGAAAATGTCTCACTCTCACCCCCCTGTCTGTGGCACATTAGGCTATGCACGATGCTCAGACAGGCATCATTGCTGGTCGGTGTATTGGTGATAGACATCTTAAAGCTTTTCCCGTGATTGCACCTTTAGGAGACCTGTGTTACTTATGGGTTTAACATAATTTGAGAGTTGCATAGGATCTTCAGAGCAGCATTAAAATCCAAATTTGCTGACTTTTGCACAGAGTAGTCCAAATGGACAGTAGCAATACCTATAAGAAGATAAAAAAAAAGTTCCTTCAATGTCAGTGTACTAATTGTAGAAACTAATTGTATTTTCATGACTGAACTTTTGAGTTTTAATTTAAAGTAGTTTTTTAAACATTATTTATTGATATTTTCTTATATACAAATACACCTGTATAAACACACAATTTGATCAAATGTGAAAACCAGTGTCCCATTAACATAGGCAACAGCTTTGTTACAAGTGTTATGAACAAAAATAAATATCAAAATGCAAACCGAAAAGAAAGTAATTAAAAATACACATCATAAACACCATCTTCTCAGTCATGAACATTTTGTGCATATCTAAATTATTCTGTACCCTAATGTGTGTTAACATAATTTAATCCTGTCAGAGGTTACTACTTATCAAACATATTATTCCTCATCATTATCATTTTTTAAGTCAATGTTTTTAACAAACATATTAAACCATTTCCATATCCCTTATCTTGTTTTCCTTTTAGTATGTACGTCACCCTTTTCAGAGGAAGAGTTATCAGCATTTATCTTACCTAATACATAATACTTGGCCTGTTGGTATTTTTCCAAAACATTGAAATGGACCTTTTGGTGTGCAAACACATATCTATTATTATTCATTCACTTTTACTGTTGTTGTGAGTTTTTGGGTAAGATAAAGAGTGCAGGGTCCATTGGTATGCTTTTTGAAATAATCTTTTCTATTGCTTTTTTGACCTCCTCCCAGAATTATTTTTTACTGCACTGCCACATACAGTGATATAATGTCCCTTTCAACTCTACACATTTTATACATACATATGGGATATTCTTATTGTATTAATTTAATATGACTGGTGTAATATAAGTTCTCATCAGTCACTTATATTGCAGTAATCTAAATTGGGTATTAACAGCCTTATGCCTATGTGGGCCTCTTTGGCAGAAACACACTGCAGCTGCCACTGCGTTCCATAGGTCTAGGCTACAAACAAGAGAAGGCCCGGATGGTGCTGGAGCTGAGGGATTCCACGGATCAACTGGTGAGAGCAGCTGCCCCTCAAGTACGAACAAGGAGAAAGTGGAAAGCCCAGGAAGAGGTGGACAGGGCGATCAGCAGACTGAAACACTGTGAGCCAGTCGGCAGTGTCCAGGAGGGCCAAGCAGGCCTTGGATGGAGCAAGACCACCCTCGTCTGGTCAAAGGCCTCGAAAGAAGAGCAGAAAGCCATGCTGGTGGCAGAGGTGACAAGGACCAAGCTGGAACGCGTTAAAATCAAAGCGGTGGCTCAAAGCCAACAGGGAGGCTGGATGTCATGGGAAGGTGTTACAGACAGGGCCCTGGCATGGACTGATATGTGGAAGATCCTCCAGGTCAGGCTCAGCTTCCTGGTCAGGTCGTCCTACGATACTCTGCCTTGTCCCAGAAATCTCCACCTGTGGTTTGGTGTGGAAGAGTCCTGTGCCCTGTGCAGCACTGGCAATGCAAGCCTCCAGCATATCCTGTCAGGCTGTAAGACCGCATTGTCCCAATGCCGCTACAGGTGGCGTCATGACCTGGTGTTAAGGAGGTTGGCAGAGGTGGCGGAGTCATGCAGACAGGAGGCCAACAACAGACCTTCCACCTCAGCAAGACCTCTGATACGGTTTGCAAAGGCCAGAGAGAACGCCAACCTTCCTTGCCAGAGAGCACCACCAACGGTACTCTCACCAGGGAGCGAGTGGTCGATAAGGGTCGACCTGGGGAGGCACCTCCAATTCCCCAGGGAGATCACAGAAGCTTCACTCTGGCCAGATCTGATCATGTGGTCAGAACCATGCAGGACCATTCTGATGGTGGAGCTTGCCGTCCCATGGGAGGAAGGCATTGAGGCTGCCAACGAGCGGAAACATGCAAAGTACGCAGACTTGGCAGCAGGACGCAGAGAGGCTGGCTGGAAAGCCATCATGCGCCCCGTTGAAGTAGGATGCAGGGGCTTCGTCGGGTCCTCAACTGCACGCCTGCTCCGCGACATGGGATGCACAGGAGCTGGGCGCAGGAAAACCATGAGGAAACTGGCAGAAGAGGCAGAGAAGGGCAGCTTTTGGCTGTGGCTCAGGAAGAAAGAGGTGATTTGGGGGCCAAACAAAGCATGACCCATTCACTTTAACGTAAATTTACCCACAATAGGCATAACTAAATAATAAACGGTAACTCTAGCAGAAAAAAGTCATCAATCTAAATTAGGAATCTAGCTACAATCAGGTTAGGAACCTAGTTACACTTGATGACCCCAAGGTCGACTACTGAAGATGTGTCTTACAGTAAGAGAGTCAATTTAAAAACAACCAACTAATCAGGAAAAGCCATAGTAAGCCACCCCATTCCACACCATCCCTTACCTCAGCCCCTTCACATCCCCTTAAGGTAAGTATAAGGATGACCCCCAATAATTCCCCTGCCACAGCCCTAATCCCCACCCCATGATCATACCAAGGAAATCACCCTTGAGGTAAGCAGGCACCACTAGTGACACTCAGGCACTAGTGGGGCCCAGGGAGGGGTTCAGATGAGCACGCCATCACAAAGGCAGTGGTGGAGGTGCGTCAGGCAGCAATGCCCAGCAGGCAGACCACCATCCTGTATTTTCATATGTTACGTATAGATTGCCAATCTTGTATTGGTACATCGGTATCTAGATCTTCCACGCTTCTCGTTTATCATGTGCATTTTCAATTGCTTTTGACAATAAATAGTTATATAGCTAAGATACAGCTCCTCTATCAAAGCTCTCCGTAAATACAATATTTTCTAAGGTAGTTGCTTGAGGTCTGTTTAAGATATTATTTTGACTTGTTCTAATAGAATTTCTAAGTTGGAGGAATTTAAAGAATTTTTTTTTTTATCTATGTCATATTTATGTGTAAGTTCTTCAAATGACAGCATGATATCTGAGTTAGGTCAATAAAGATATTGATTTTTTTCTAGTCCGTTTAATGCCCATTTTCTAAATACATCATCTTTTATTCCTGGTATAAAACGCTAAATTTAAAGTAGTTTTAATCCTATTGCAAACACAACAACCACAGTGATGGATACTGTGGTCGTCAAATGAATGGAGCTCGTAATTTTTATTAAGCACAATCAACAATAACATGTTGCTTACATGCTTACATGTACTTGTATTACATGGTAATACAAGGCTGATAAATAATGTGTATACATATATTGAAGGGAACAAAATAATACGAGTTTACAATTATTATTTAGAATACATAAACATACTGGTCCCTTTCTTCGCTTTGATTTGTAAACAGGGAAGACAAAAAGTAGTATTTAACATTATAAATCGTTTTGTCTGAAAAAGGAAACTTACCAACGATCTCTTTTAATGACATAGTGGTGTGTTTTATTTTCGGTTAACTTTGACAAGTGTTTTGTTGGTGTAAAAATAAAGTTTAAGTTCTTGTCTTTTACTAGCGGCGCCACTGTGGCTACCGAAAAGTCACAGTAAGTCTGTCTTTACGCCAAAACACACCGGAAACTAGCGCTTTACTAAAACTACATTTAAATGTGCAAAAATAAGATTGTTTGTTCACTGTAGAAGTGCTATCAGCCTAATCGGCGATATAAAAAAACACACAAGACATTAGCATTTGAGATAAAAAAAAAAGAATGTTTAACGTGTGTCGGATGAGCAATACGCTTGTCAAACTTTAGCCCGAAAAGCCTTAGCGGAAGTACTTGGTGTTATTAATATAAATTGACCCCGACTGGTTTCTACCTGCTACAAAAACATCAGCTAACAACCCTGCTAACACAACGTGCTACTCTGATGTTAGCGTTACTTTTCTTTATATATTTACTACTTAATAACACAACACGTAGAAATGAATCGACTTTATACCACAGTTTGAGAACATGTTTGTTAACTGGCGGCTCTGTACTTTTACATGTTTATAATAATTAACGATGTCTAAACAGCTAGCATTTGGTGCTACCTAAATGTTGTAGCGGAGAGATAGTGCGGCTCCTGCTCAAACTCACCGTGTCAGCGACGGGACAGAGATATCTCTGTAGCAAATTCCAGTTTCTCTAAAGTTCTACCTGATGTACCAGGTCTCAATAATCTTTAATATGCAAAATATTTTTTTCACTGAATAAAGCTGAACATCCGCATAGACTGAAAAAACAGAGCAGGAGTCATTAAGCTCTCAGATTTCGAGTTGTCTTCACTTCTCACGCGCTGTACGCATGCGCAACATTTCAGTCATTTAAAGAAATTCATACATTTGATAAATACAGTATTATAAACCAATCCACATTAAAACAAATTATATGGCCTATTAAGCGCTTTAAATCATATTGTGTCAATCACTGCCTTGCTGAACTTGTTCACTGTCATGTCGTAGTACATAAAAAACATTATTTCTAAGAGCCTCTTTTTGGCTCTTTTTTGACAGGAAAATGTAAGGATTTATCCTATTTATTTAAGAATCCTCCCCTCCTCCCCCATTATATAAATCTCCCGTTAGCACTTGGCATCAATGTGCATATTTAATGCCTTTACCAGAGTATTTAGAAAATCAAATATTACATTGTACATGTTACACCCTTGTTCCTGTGTAATTACAATACATTTTTTCTATCCTGTTCTGGTGTTTATTTAAAACTAAGTTTTCTTAGGAACTATTAATAAACGGACCAAAGAATGAAATGTATTAAAGTAGAACCATTTTTACATTACATTGACAGACTATGGCTACGCATGTAAATTGACAATGAATATAAAACTGAGCTGTAGTGCAATGCCTTAGATTCCCTGCTTGTTAATACAAATGTATGAGGTAATGGAACAGAGACTTCTGTTTACAGCTGTACTCACAGATTATAAGCACTGTTTCCTTCTGTCTAATAAATACAACCCAAATGCGTTTTGAACCATTCTTTACCCTTTTCTCACACATCTTTGATCCTGAAAGACATTCAGAACCAGAACTTTAGCAAATATCATCTGATATATTGACAGATACATTCATTACAACGTGAACATATGCTTCAGTATGAGTTTACACCATTAAATCTGCCAGAACAATGTCAGCTGTGATGACGCAGCTTCTCATCTCGCTCATTATTTTCTGCTCTGTAGTTAACAAGGCGCTAATGAGAGAAGTGAAATCAACTGCAGGGTTTGGTGAGAGCAGAACTAAAGTCTTTATCTGTGATGGCACTTTATAATGGGACCACACACACACAAACTTCTAATGCTCTGCTGGTTACCATGTTTTCCTAAATGGTGAATATTACTCGCTGACAGACGACATAAGGATGATTAATTACTGGCTTTTGTAGCTAATCTGTTCTGTTCATGCTTCCGTTGAAGCTTCTGTTTTTATCAGTGGCGCTTTGGCCTAGAGGCAATGACTCTGTCATTGGTGTGGAACCCCAGGCTTCATCTCCTGGGTAAAATCGAATCCTGGTTATGGCGGTTGGTACCTTCCAGTGGCCTCATTGTTATGCCGTGTAGTGCATTTAAGAAAAGACACACACGGTCAGCGTGGGTTTATGCTTAAACTTTACTGAAGAAGTGCCTGTCTACGTACAAGGTCTCCTAGGTAACCTGTTGCCTGATGCCTCATAGGTAATGTAGTATCTTAAAGCTACACATTACAACACACTCACCACCTGCCGGGGCTTGTTCGGTGCAATGTGATTTGAGTGGCGGTCGTGGAGACTGCTGCCCCCGCGACCTGGTAATGGATCGGAACCAAGCGGATGAAAATGGATGGATGGATCACTTTGCTTTTCACCCCTGCCTTAATCAAAAACATTTTTTTAGTTTAAAGTTCTCCCACTTTTTTCTGTCTTTTTTTAAAAAAAAATCAGACGGAGATATACTGAACGTATGGGAACAAGGGATTCCCGCTGGATAAACGCCTCCCGCCAAAAACTTTTACTTTTTCACCAGCAGATGGCGATAAGTACCACAATTTAAATCTCCTGGAGCGAGGTGGTTAATGTAGTTGAAATGTTTTAAGTGTATCAACAGTGTGATGGTGTGTGGCCGTACACAGTCACACTCTTCTTCCCTGAAGGCCTAGGTACATGACCATGTGTGCCCGGACAAGTCCCTTTACCTACAAATTACATGTTTATTAATTACATTATTGCTAAATATCACAGTGGGCTGCTGCAAACCTGTAAACATAAAGTGAGCTCCATATCAACAGTCTCTTAAGCAAAATCACATGAGTTTTGAATTAAACCAGACAGATAATTACACTCAGGGGACACTAGCCTTTATCAGATTATATACCACACATATGGCCTGCTCATGTTCAAACCTGCATTACGCTGCATACTCAGGAGCTATGATTCCATTGCATCCAATAAACCTTGAGGCAGTTTAAAAGTACCTGAAACTGATTTTCTCTACTGTCTGGTTTACAGCCTCACAACAGGAACTCATTTTACTTGTCTAGTATGTGTCGCCACTCCAAATGAGCAATGGTCCTTGGAGCACCCGTGGCATGCCTTAAATTTAGGATAAAATAGACAGAAATTTGTTTCTCGATTCTTTCTACATGAAACAATGGTGACGTTGTTCTCATGACTGACATTCACTCTGAATTATTTAGCCCTAGGTTTTTAACACCCAGAGGTTTAAAAAAAAAGAAAAAGAAAGAAACGTTAGCAGCAACTTAGTTGATTAGGATTTAACCATGACGGCAGGTTTTGAGGACAGGAGTTGTCTGAGCATAACATATATGGTTTCACATTCTTATGCACGCACCGATACAAGTGGGGCAGCATGATTGTTTCAAGCTGTTTTTGTTTATGGTCTTCACAGTAATAGTGCCGAGTTTGATCAGACAGAATCATATATTACCTTGACAAGTGTCCCTCAGAGGCAGGACACATGACCTAGTGTGTCTATTTATGTATGTGTGTGTTTATCCATCGGCAGACCTACACATAAAAACCAAAAATAAATTAAGTGTGTGTGAGTGAGCTGATGTGACATGACTACAGTCAGACCGCCGGGTTAAAAATGTCCTTACAGTTTGTGATTTGTTGCTAATGGGCTCCTTATTGTTTAGGTGAAATCCCCATCATGCCTCAAGGGTCATATAATAATTCATCTGTCAGGGGGAGAAAAAAATGCAGCTTGAGGATCAATCCATCAGATCATTGTAATTACTGTGTTTATTATAGTATTACATTGGGTATTACAATGGTGTATCTTTCATCAAATGACTGTTTGTGGCATTTATTGAATTCTTACAATGTGAACTTAAGAAGCACTTAAACATCAATACTACTGCAACTGCTTTAGTTTTCTGTACTTTTTTTGGTACTTTTGGACAGACATAGACAGATACCTAGATAGAGAGATAGATAGGATGGATGGATGGCTGGCTGGCTGGCTGGATGGATGGATGGATGGATAGATAGATAGATAGATAGATAGATAGATAGATAGATAGATAGATAGATAGATAGATAGATAGATAGATAGATAGATAGATAGATAGAATTGTATTAACACTTCTGGAGTTCGTTTGGGAAATTAAGGTTGCAAGTTTTACTTTTAAACAGTCAATTAATTAAGTCATTAACATGTAATACACTGAGACTTGGAAACAATGCTTCGTTTTTATCATGTCACATGTTTTGAATGTCAATAAGGCTGAGTCTGACTTTGAGTTTTGCAGAGTAGAAGCAGGTTATCTACAGTGATGGATGAAATGCCATGGGTTACAACCTGGTCACCACTCCATTACAGGACAACATAGAATACAGAGAGCAACTGAACTCATGTTAACACATATATTTAGTTTAGAGACTAAATAGACTAAATAATCCCTAATAATCCACATCACCAAAACTGGGCTTCACAAAATGTAGTGGGTTTAAACATAAGGTAATTTTAATTACCTCAGTCTCTAATACTTAATGTTGAGTCAGTTTACTTTTTGGATATTGACTCAAATATCACCTGAACTGTTATTTTGGGAATATTGATTAATTTGACATTTAGGTGTTAGAGACAATTTATCTTGTGATACAAGTGTGATTTTATCTCCCTAAATGTTGTCACACTGTTGATTAGACAAACATTTTATCACCTGACGTTTTTGTTCTGTGTAGAATAGATAAAGTACATACTATTGAACTATTTAGTCTGGGTTTATCTGACTTGTCATGTGCTTTTGTCTGAGAATAGTTGTTAGTTGATAAACTCAGCGAAATTCTGTACAGATATTTAATAATGACAACTAAGACTGTTAGCAACTAACCAACTAAGAGGTTTGCAACCTTGGGTTGATGTTTCTCTCCACGTTTGTCTTTTAAACTTTCATAACACCTTCTGCTCCTTCGTCTTTGAACCTCTCAGATATTACTCTGAAAATATCAAAAGTGGGGGATGTATCAAATCTGAAATATGTCCACTTCAGTGAGATTCAGGAAATTGTGTATCCCGTGGTTAGTAAATGCAGATGGAGGGGTAGAAATGCATAGAGATGGATGGAGTTTGATGGATGGAGCTGTTCACTCTCCTCCCTTCAGAACAGAGGAGTCTGAAATGTAAAACATCCCAGCTCAAGAACTGTTTCTTTCCTTCTGCCATCAGACTCCTGAACGGGAATGGACAATAATATTAACATTTCTCTCTTTTGCACATGCCAAATCTCTTTTGCACATGCCAAATTTGCACATCCATAAGTATCTACTACTGCACATTGTAAATACTGTTAGATTTCAGTGGTTTCCAGTGGTTTTTCACATTTGGTTGGGTCTGCAGCAGGAAAGTGCTGAGACACCAAAAGGCTTTCCCGAGCACACACAGTCACATAGCGGCAGTAAAAGCCGATCATGAAACAAAATTGACCAGACTGACGCTTTGTATCCGTTCAGGGAGATGCATGAAGCCGCTCAGGGACGTAAGTTCAGGCCATCAGTTGATGAATGTGTGTCGGATAATGAATATCAAGACTATAAAATCACGAAAAAGGCAAAGTTAAGACCCGTCGTGACAAGACGTGTTGACGGAGATGCCGTTTTTTCCTATAAGGCAGCAAAAGCTGGTGACATAGACCAGTGGTCAAAAGACCTGCAGCATCCTAGGAAAGCAGGTATGAATGTGTGGTCTAAAATAAACAGACTGCGCAACATATATCAGCTGCATCCCTTTGATGGGGTGGCAATACTATGCACCGTTTTAAACACCTCCGAAGCAACGAGGTTGAGACGAGCGGTGGAGAACAGCATAGGTG